ATGAGGACCTAATGTCGGGGGTTTAAGTGGAGAGAAAATGTTTTGAGAAACAGATGTACAAATGCGCTTTACACAATTGATGTGTATATGGATTGGGATAACACTTGTATGAGCCCCTAATAAAATGTTAAAAAATAAAAATAAAAAGCACTTCAAAAAAATAAATAAATAAAACCGAAAAACAAAAACAAAAACAACCTATCATCCAGAGTATATAAAGAACTATAATGACTTAACCACAAAAATATTAACAACCCAATTTTAAAATGGGCAAAGTTTCCTAAGTAAGATCCATGTAAATACTCAATAAGCACATGAAATGCCATGCTGTTATTGTTGGTAGGTAATATCCAGTCAGTTCTGACTCATAGTGACCTATGCATCACTGAACAAAACCACCCAGCCGGCGCCATCCTCACAATTGTTCCTATCAACATGATGAGCCCATTGTTTCAGCCACTGGTCGGTCCATCTTGTTAAGGGTCTTCCTCTTTTTCATGGACCTTCTACCAAGGGGGCGATCTTTTTCGAGGGACTGGTTTCTTCTGAGCTTCTCTGTCTTGTTTCTCGCTCACAGAATCCCTTAAAATGGCCTTCTGCTTATAATGCAATAGCCACACCGCAAAGCCACAGCGGCCACAGCTCTCCCAATTCTGATTTGCAGACAATAAAACTACCAGGTGATACCAAAAATAACACGCCCCCCCCCCACCAAAAAACAAAAAACCCACAATCCATCATTAAATGGAAAGTTGTGAAGAAATAGTTGCTTTATTTAACAGCTATTCATTTATATTGAATAAACATTTTCTAGTATGCATTCTGTTAATTGACCTGACAGCATATGCTGTATATGGAGAAACTTCTAAACATTATGCTCTATGTAATATGCTTATCTGAAAAAGCTCTCATTTGCAGCAATATGGAAATACAATTCTGCTTTCTAAAATTCAAGACTTTTAAAATGCATTAATCCACACAGTTTATGAAATTGCTCTGGACATTTTAAGATCCATTCTTTAAGGGAAAGGAAAAAAAAAACCTTGTAATTGGTAATAGTATTTGTTGCTCAGTCTCATAATGGAGTTGTGCCTATCCAATAGAGAACTTTTACAGGCCTAAAAATGGGGCAGGCTTAATAGGAAATAAAAAGCAGTTATGGGATGGGGGAGAGAATTACTCAATGGCTAAAAGAACATGTTCAGAAACTCTATCAAATTATAGTATTAGGAAACTATTGTTGTAATCGTTTCATGGCAAAGATGTAAGTAGAGTTGAAATGCTACCGAGATAATACATTTACTCTTGAGGAAGGAAGACCGTTTGAGAGTATATTGGTGGACTATGTTCTCTAGCTAATGGCAGCACCTCTCTTTGGCTGATGCTTCTGAGTGAAGATGGCAACTTCTAGAACAGCATCACAAGTCCACTGCCTGGAGAATAATCATGAACCACACTGGCTGGGACCCATGGCCAACCGGAGGGTGGCAGGCTCCAGGGATGTCTTAAGCAATATTTATCTCTAAACAATCTTTGCCTCTATGCAAAACAGGCCTTGTGTTGTCTGCTGGTCTAACCTTTCCAGAGAACACGAAAGAGCCAGAGTCTTCTTCTAAGTTGTCAATAACTTTCGATTTGTCAACCTGTAGTCCAAACGCAGACCACAACTTGCTCCCTCCACAGTGAGCCTCCACCAGAGCTCTCCATTGTGTGAGAAAGGGCGCTTGCCAACATGTGCACTTGTCTTTTACAACACGGGTCACATGGCAGAGGGCTTGCATGTGTTTACTTAAAAGCCCACCATGTGAAAAAAAAAAAAAAAAAGCCCACCATGTGATAAAAATTCTCCCTCTATCCTCCTTGATAGTGCTGGTGCCACTTGAGGATGTCCTAGCATTCGGTTTGACACACAACATCATCGATTCATTCTTGTACCACGCTGGATCTTTGGGCTGCGTGGACTTCTAGCATATTTTACAGTTCTAATTCTCTTCCACTGTCCTACATTAATCAAAGCTGTAGCCCCTGTTGTCTTTGTACTACAGAGTCAGAATGTGCCCCTGGCGAGGAACGGGGGAAAAGTCAACAGGAATTAAATTTCAGTGCAACTGTTTACTCAACTGTGGCCTGCAGTTATTGAAATTTTATCCGTGGTTTTGTGTGACTACCGCAGTAATGAATTCAGCATGGCTGTGATTTTCTCACTGCTGCTATTCTCACTTCAAATAAAAACCTGTAGAATTAAAATGATGAAAAAACCGAGTCCATCGCGATGGCTTTTGCATGTCTTCCTCAACTTGTTTAACTGTGGTGCTTTTCGGTCAGGAGAAAACACTGGGGCCTGGAGCCCATTGGATAGCCCCTAACCTGCGACTAGCCTTAGTTCACTTTTACATTTTTCTTTCCCTCCACAACCTGTGAGATCCTCCTCAGATACTTAGGGACTGAGACCACTGTCAAAATTGGTTTCAATTATGAAAGGCCTTCCGTGCCTGCCAACCAACAGAAGAAGGTGGCCTTCTTCACGATTATAGACTCAGTGCTTTCTTTTTCTCCAAAGACCTATCAATGACAAAACAGAAATAAAATTACTGCAAAAAGCTTTCAAAGAGTTCTAGAGTGCAGCCAGCTCAAGTCAGTTTCTTCACCATTGCTTCGATAGCCCCTAACAGCAAGTTTCAAAATGGTCCCAATCAAGGTCAGAAGAGAAGATGTGAACAACAAGTTTTGCTACAGATACTTTTAGATATGCTAAAACCGTTCAACTTTCCTCTCTGCTGCCCCTTGGCCGTGGTCCTGTGTGTTTTGATGGTTTCCCAATTAAGGACGGTGAATGATTTTCAGTTCTCCAAATAAAATTCAGAAGAAACTCACTTTCCTCTACTTAATGACTGCAAGTTCTAATTATGTGGGGTTCATACCTATTGGTCAGTAGCCCCACCTCAACTGCTCTGTAAGGAAACTCAATGTTGGCCTCTGCCTGGTAAGAGCATCGAAAAAGACATACCCAAAATACCAACTATTTATCCTCAACACAGCCAGAAATAGCACATGAACATATGTCAGCACGAATACATGAATAACAACTTTCTTCCATTTATTGCCGGGTTTTAATAATAACCTTACTGTTTGGAAATTCACAATTCGAGTAACTTGAATATACAAAGTTTGCATCCTAAATTCCATCTGTGCCCGAGGTACCGGGCATGCATGGGTTTCAACTGCCAATGTGAGAACAACTCACTTTCAGGAAGTACTTGGACTTGAAGCCTTGGCTTGGCCCAGCCCTTGGCTTCCCTTTCTTCCTATTTTCTCTTCCTCCCGGAGATGCCCGAATCAGGCTGGGTCTACCAACCTCTACTGGCCGATTCCTTGTACAGCAAAGCCTGCAAACGCTGGGACCACGGTAAGGCGGAAACAGGTCAGGGAAAGAAAGTCCTAGTAGTTTCCACTAAAAGGAGAGGACAGCAAGAACCTTGCCAACGGTGAAAACTGGCGACACGTGGAAAAACAAGGCGGCAAGCGAGTTCCAGCTCTTACAAGTTTCACTGTACTTGTAAAAAATTGTGAGCAAGGGAAAAAATTCACCGTGCTTTAGGGCCTATTGAAGTCTCCAGTGCTAAGATAAAATGGGGCCCTCTTGGCCTCTGTGCCAGATGCCAAGAAAAGCTCGATTCCTCTTCCTCTCTGCCTCTGACACGGTCTGCATCTTTCAAAAAGGACCAAAGACACGCCATTCTTTTAACACCCCTGCCAAAGTACCAAAACTATATGTTGAACAAAGGAATAAAGGAAACAAAAATCATGCATTATCATAAACACAGACTATTAGCTCATGATTCCAAAAGAGGTTGGTAAAACAAAGCTTGTCTTTGAGAAAAATGTTCACTTGTTTAGTATATGGTTAATATCACTCTGGCAACAAAACTGTTTATGGGAAAGCATGTGACTTCAAGTACCTATCTACAATGAGAAGCCCTGATGGAGCAGTGGGTACAGTGCTCAGCTGCTAACCAAAAGGTCAGAGGTTCAAACCTACGAGTGCCCCCCACCCCCACCCCCCCAAAAACAGGGCAATTTGAAATTATAAAGATTATAGCCTTAAACTCCTGTTGGGCAGGTCTCTGCCCAACACGGTTACTGTGAGTTAGAATCGACTCCGTGGCAGAGAAATGAGTGTGTCCCAATCTATGTACCATTTTCAAGGCTACTCTTAAAAGATCATTTGCTACAGTATTGGGATTCATACATATATGAACTGCCTCGTGCACACAAGAAACATACGTCCGCCAGTGGTCCCATGTACCTGAATTCTTACCCAGGCAGAGGGAAGTCTTCTCAGGCACTGACGTCTACATTATTGATGTTTTCTCTGTTAGTTACCCAATTCTGCCTGGATTTATTTGTTTCAATTCTGTGTTCACTCTCTTTTATCCTTTTTTTGTTTGTTTCCTTCCCATAAGCTTTAACCCCTGACACCCACCCCTTTTGAATGAAAGCATTGGGAAACATTTCTCCAAATACTAACTTCCTCCAAAGTGTTAGAATGTTTAGCTGACATGTTGGTGGGGAGCAGGGTTCCACTCAAATCTTGGTTTCCCCACCACCAGGCTTCTCACAGTGTCCCCACAATGGGGCTTTGAAGACTTCCACCTGACCTGTGAGAACTTACATACCGTCTCTTAGATAGTTACCTAAACCCTGTTGTTGCTGTTGGCTGTCAAGTTGATTTAAACCCATAGCGACCCCATAGGGCAGAGCAGAACTGGGTGCCGAGTGCCAGGTCTTTCTCCTGCAGAAGCACTGGGTGGGTTTGAACTGCCAACCTCTCAGTGTGCAACTGAGTACCTGAAGATTGCGCCATCAGGACTCCCTACTTAAGCCCGTAGATGGGTTGAAAAGCTCTACTAATAGTAAAACAGGCAGACAAGCATAAAATATTGTTCTGTGGGTAACCCAGCCACCCGTCACCCCCAGTCCCCAACTGTGAGCCACGGTACCTGCTGCTGCTGCTGGATGTGGGCGAGGTCAGCCGGCCCCACTTCCACTGCCGTCGTTTCCCCGTTGGCGCGCCCCTCCCGAAGGCCGCTGCACTCTAGCAAGTGGTTGCCGCTGCTGGACCCATTCTGAATGGCTGCACCGTTACTCTTTGTCTCAGTCCCAGATTCTTGCATCATGACTCCAAACCCTGACAGAAGAATGTCAGGAGGGGCAGGGCAGGAGGAGGAGAGAGAGAGAAAGGCAGCTGTTGAAAACAGTTGTTGCACGTAGGAGAAGCGCCTTGTTTTAAATATTGCCAGAAACCGTAAACAGTTGTCATTTTCTTTCACTCTTTAGTGGCCCAGTCTCCTAGGGAATGAGGATGGGATTACTGGTCCAAATTCAAGTTTCACTAGTTTTGCTTTAGCTACCTGATGTTCTTCGTCAACTTTGGGAAAAGAAGTCTTTTCAGGCGAGCCTAGGATTTATGATTGCATTTGCCTGATTACACTTGGGTATTTTGCTTGTAACACTGAGGCCATATACTACATATAGTACATGAAAAACTCCAAACGCAACCGCCAGCGAATCAATTCAGACTCCTGGCGACACGACAGGGCAGACTAGAGCGGCCCCTGTGGGTTTCTGAGACTGTGACTCTTCAGTGGAAGCTCTTTGTCTGGTGAAGCTCCTGGTGACTTCAGGCTGCTGACCTTGCCGTTGCAGCCCAACCCCTAACCCACTATGCCAAGGGCACACATGAGCCGGAAAAGCACATTTTAATGTGCACAGGAGTTACAGAGAGGTGCTATACTCTTGAGAAATGGCTCCCAACTTTTAAGATAGGACAAACATTACCTGGAGACATTCATGCTTAGAAACCCAAGTCATAGACCAAAAAAACCTTTGAAAGATTCACACTCGTTGGAATTATTTAGCTCTGGGAACCCTTCAAAATTGGCCATTCCAATAAGAGATGTCACCAGGCCCCACTTTTCAAATATTAAACTATTTCAGATCCTATTCTTTGTCTCGAAGCTAACATTTGCCTGAGAGATGCTATTCAAAGCCAGGTGTTTCTCATGCTGGATCTGCTGGGTTTTGTTTGAGTGTTTGTGCTTGGGGTGGGGGAGGGCTTCGTGCATGTGGTGTTAGGCTGCTTATGGAAAGGTTGACAGGTTGGCTTCCATAAAGATTACAATCTTGGAAACCCCATGAGGCAGTTCTACTTTGTTCGATAAAGTTGCTATGAGTTGGAATTGACTTGATGGCACTGAGTTTTAAAATTTGAACAAGACAAGAGAGAGCTATGCCTCCTGCTCATATTAATTTTAAAGAAATAACTTGCCTAGGTAAACCGAAGAAAAGGTCTGGATTGGAAAATAGTGGACTTCTAATAGAAAAACATATATGGTACAAAATGAATACATAATATAGGCTATGTATAAATCCGAACCTAATTCATGTTCCTCCCTATTACTTCTTAAGCACAAAAATGTTATGTATGGGAACTAGTTCAGTTCTCTTAGGCTGGATAAAAAAGTCTAATTTTGAAAAACAAATAAAACAACACAGAAAATCCATTGCTTAAATCAACTGTTGCCACCCTATTAATCGCCACCATTGTGACAGTCCCTTCTGCAGTTGACTCAAGAGGGGGCTTCAAAAAGTTTGTCGAAAAATTCCATTATCTTTCCATTTAATTTTCCCACAAACATTTTAAAGCACCTTCGTGTAGTCTCTAATTCAATCCTGACAGCAACTGAGATTCCCAATTTTCGGAGAAGAAAATGAGGCTCAACATGATTCATTTAATTTGCCTAGGATATATCACAGCTGCTAAGCAGACAGTGGAGGTTGGGGTTTACCTGGAGGCTGCGTGGAAGAAAGGCCTGGTGATCTTCTGCAGGCCCTGGGGAGCACGAGTCTATGCTGACACACAGCAGGTGGTATCAGTTGGAAGTGACTAGATGGCAATGGGTTTTTAAGGGAGTGACAGTGTTTAAGCCAGTTCCGTCAAATACCGAAGCTCTTAACCACACGTGTCCTTAAAGTCATGGTGCAGTTGGGGCAAGACAATGGAAATGGCAGGGTTACCCTCTGTGTTGCTGACTAGGCGACTTTACAATAGCTAATAAACAGTGGCCACGAAAGAATGCTTACAATTCAAACAGCAATGCTGAGAAACCCTTAAATAATTATCACTTCAACATAAAAATTCTTCCACCTCAGAGAGGCATATATGTAACCAGTGCTACAGATGTTTCCCCTGCTGAACTCTATGACAGCAAGGAGATTTCAATGCCCTCCACTCTGATAGCATAGTGGTTACTCATTGAGCCGTGACCAGGAAGGTCGACAGTTTGAAACCACCAGCTGCTCCTCCATGGGAGAAAGATGAGGCTTGCCATTCCCATAAAGAGCTGCAGTCTTAGAGACCCACAAGGGCAGTTCTACTCTGTCCTGTGGGGTCAATATGAGTCAGCCTCAGTTCAATGCAGGCAGTTGACCTCTTCTGGTGAGGCTGTTTGTTGCCTTTGTTGGAAATTGGTTTTAGTTGACTTTCTGCAGAGTTGACAGAAAACTAAATGGAAGAATTGAATGGGGAAGGGAAAATTCACATACAAACTTCATACATCTAGAAAACACGTAGTTTTCAAAACGTTAGTCCAATTCTGAAGTGGATTAAGAATGGTATTTTTTTATTCTTTTCACTGACAGGTGGGACATAAACTCAGAAGCAATAGCTGACTCTCTTTGCTTCTTCTCAGACTTTCTAGTAATTAAAATCTTTTAAAAATTACATGCATAGCCTTAGTGTCTGCAAAGCCAAAATATTTGAAAGAAAATTTGTTAACTAAATTTAAATCTGCTAAAACAAACAAACAAATCTCACTGCTACTGAATCAATTCCAACTCACGCAACCCTACAAGACAGGGTAGAACTGCCCCTGTGGGTTTCCAAGACTGTAACTCTTAGAGAAGTAGAAAGCCTCATCTTTCTCCTGGTAACAAAGACATGTAGCAGTAAATGCGAGGACCTTGCTCATCACCAGAAAAGGACCCAAACTATGAAATCTAGGTGCTTTCCCCTAAGTTTTTCAGTTTCTCTTCCTCAAATCTGACTATTTGCCATAGGAGCTTAGAAGTCACCTGGAGGTGCAAAGAGTTAACCCATACTTGGCTCTACTCAAGTGGCTTGAGGTTGGAGTCTACCAGGCATGCCTAGAAAGGAAGGACCGGCAATCTAAGCTGGAAAACCCCCTGCAACCTGGGCAGAGCGCAGTTCTACTGCAGCACACATGAGCTGCCATGAATCGGCGTCAGCTTGATAGCGCCTGCCTTATCAAGAAACAAACACGGTATTTAGGAAAGGGTGACAGGACTATTGAATTATATGATATGTAAAATACTTGAAAAACAAAAAGAAATGGAATGACTATCAATGCAAGGAATCTCATTTAATCATGAAGGTATACTACAGCATGTCTACAGAAGAAAATATGTAATTGTATCTTCTGAAAAGCCTGTCCATAACAGGGATGGTTAGGAAGGAGTGCGTTTAATTTGGATCCCCAACCAGTGCACATGGAAGGAGCAGGCAAGAAATCAAATGACGTGCTCCACCGGGCAAATCTGTTGCATCTTTTCAAAAAGACCTCTTTAAAAATGTTAAGAGAGCAACGATGCTACTTTGTGAGAAAAGGTGCTCTTGGCCAAAGCTGGGCATTTCCAATCCCCTCATATATGTGTGAAAGCAGGGCAATCAGGAAGGAAGAGCACAGCAGAATTGGTGCAGCTGAATTGGAAGTCCCACGGACCGCCAGAAGAACAACCCTGTCCTGGAAGAAGTATGGCCAGAATACTCCCTAGAAAGAAGGAAGGAAAGACTTCATCTCGACATACTTTGGTCAACGTGATCAAGAGAGACCAATCCCTGGAACAGAACATCATGCTTGGTAGAGCAGAGGGTGAATGACCCTCCTGAAGATGGATTTGACCCCTGTGACTACATGCAGGAGCTCAAACGTGTCGATTGTGAGGAAGTTGCAGAACGAGGCAGTGTTTCATTCTGTTCTGTTCTCTAGAGTCAGAGCAGACTAGACGGCATCTAACAACAACATCAGGCAATGACTGGGGTCCCTAAAGACAAACACTTAGCCATACATAACCTCAGCTTGGGGCATATTTTGCCTGTTATATGGGCCTGCCAGTAAAGTGCGGTAGTTAAAACAGGTCTAAGGCACTCTAGACCTGAAAACAGGTACCTAAGAGACGTTTGTTTCTTCAATTTCACATCATCGGAGCAAGTAGATTTGGACAATCTCTAAAACGCAATTTGATAAGAAGGCTCAGTTTTTTGCTCCACGCAGTTCTAATGAGGAATGCCAAGTCCTCTAGTACAAGTTTTGCAGGAATGAAGCCAAGCAGCTTGGCTTGTGAATCAAGTTTGTGAGAGTGGAAGTTTGGGAACCAAAATTACACAAAGGATTATTTTGGTCTGAGGATGTCCTTAATTAGTCAAGTGCTAACAGTAGTATGTAGGTTGGAAGATTTAAAATTTCTTATAACTTCCCACACCAATCAGGAGAGAACAGCTTTTTAAAGTGTACATGTGAAAAATGAAGGCGTGTCAAGGCCTAAAAAAATTTCTAGCAGTCTCTGGGTTGCTTTCTATGGAGCACTCTAAACCACGCAATCAGCCATTCTATCTGCATCACACACTGCGGACAGCAAAGACCTCTGGGGACTTTCCAACCTCAAAACAAATTGACGAAGGAGAAAAGGCAGGCAATGCTTTCCCTATTTTACAGCGAACCGAAGCTCAGGATCTTAAGGGATAGACAACCAACCCACAGCCATTCCCCAAATCGGTCTGTTCAATAAAAAAGCCTGGCCCAACATGGCAAATTGACCAAGTCAGTGAACGGAAAGCTAAGTAACTTCGAGAAAAGGCAGCAAGAAGGGTGGCCGGAACGTGTTTTAGATGCGCTCATGAAAGCGTTGGGCCTCATTAGCAAGCGGCTACCTGTGTCCTTTACAATAAGTTCTCGTGGAATTTTAGCGTGATCGGAAAGCAAGTCAAAGGCTATGAGAGACATCTGTCTTTCCTACTGATCACGGAATTTCGGAACACTGCTTGCTCTGCTCAGAGAGGGGGCTAGCCCCAGCCACTGAGCTGGCACCAACCCTCTTG